ATCACCGAAACCTGGTTGCTCTCGCCCTGCCATCTCCCCACCTCTTGGCAACAGTTCCACCTTCCCGGTATCCCCGTCTCTGGTGATTACCGTGGATCGCAAGGCATCTGTTGTCTTATCAATCCCTCCTGTCCTCTGCCAGCCTTCCAAGTCCCCCTACCCGGCAATCAGTTCGCACTTGGCATTCAACTTGGTCGTCATTTGCGTCTGATCTGCTTGTATCTCCCGCCTGACCAGCCTTCTATGAGATGCTCGGATGTTTCTGCTGTGCTCTCCTCGCTTCCTCTCTCCCATGACACGATCATCTGTGGTGATCTGAACGCACGCCTTGGCGACGTTACTGGTGACTCAGGTAACAACTCTCGTGGTACTACCGTCCTTGACTGGTGCAGGGACAATAATTTGTCAATCTTGAACCGCCACCTCTCCTACGGTACCCCGACGCTTCTTGACTTCCGTCATGGCCGCCCTGTGAGTAGTATTGTTGATTATTTTATTACCAACTTGTCGACATTTGATACCTCACCCCCTTCTTCTTCTATTGCCATAGCTTCAGATCTGTCGTTGGGCTCTGACCACAAGCTGATGTCTTTGTCATTGCAGTACTGCCCCCCTCCAGCCTCTGTAGGTCATCCCTCTGCCCGCGAGTCTCCCCCTTCTATCCCTTGCATCCGTCGTTGTTGGAATCTATCCCGGTTAAGTGAGTCTGATGTTCGTGACCTCTTCTATCACCAGTTTGCTTCTCTGTCCTCCTCCCTTATCCAAGATCTCTCTTCTCTTCTGTCCTCCCCTCCTCGTTCTCGCCCAGATATTGATGCCCTCAATACTCGGCTCAATGAGGCGATATACACTTCGTTGGACTCGTCGGTTGGTGCCCGTGCCCAACGGCCGGCCCTCTGGAAACGGTTCTGGACCCCTGCCCTCCAAGAAGCTGCTGAGCGACGTGAGCGGTTCTACCGTCGATGGCGACGTTGCCATAGTGCAATGGACAAGATCTTCTGGTGGAACAAGCACATCGAGGCCCACAACAAGTTCAAGCAAGACCTACGTCGAGCGAAACAAGCCTCCTGGCGCGCCTTTTGTGACTCTCTCGAGAACGATGACTTCAGCAAGACGGTGCTTTCTAAAATCAAGCGGATCAAGACTCGTCGGGAACGACAGACTGGCTATGTGAATCCAGACGGTGATGCGGCGGGTGCGATCGCTATGCGTGACCACCTTGCCTCCGTGTACTCTGGCTCCTCTCTCCCGGCTGGGCGTCCTCCGGACCTCCCCAGTGCTCCCCTGCCGTATGATGTGGCCCATCCTTCATCGTCCTCGGGCGGTGATGACGGCTCCCTCCCTCCCTCTGATCTCTCCGTACCATATGGTGTGGTCCACCCCTCATCGTCTCAGGGCGATGGTGTTGGTCTCGGTTCTCCCTCTGTGTCTCGGTCGTTAAGTGTGATCCACTCTTCATCGTCTTTGGACGGTGATGGCGACCTCAGCACTGATTCAAGTGTTGATGATGGTTCCTCTGCCGTCTGGCAGTTGGATACCATCACGAGTCACATCAAGCTCCTGCCTCGTCGTAAAGCTCCTGGCTCTGACCATCTGCGTGCAGAAATGCTGCAACCCATCAAAAAGCCTCTGGCTAGGGTCCTGTCTCTCCTCTTTGCTCTCTGCTACCAATGGTCCTACACCCCTTCCCTTTGGCGTGAGGCTCAAGTTGTGCCTATTCACAAGAAAGGTGATCCCTCTGTCGAAGCCAACTTCCGGCCCATCTCTCTGACCTCCATCATGCGCAAACTGTTTGAGATGTGTCTGGCTCCCTTCCTCTCCTCTGTCTCGCCTCCCCTGGACATCGCCCAAGGTGGCTTCCGCCCGCAACGAAGTTCTCTGGATCAGGCCCTCTGCTTGCACGACCTTATGAAAGAGTACTTTCGTGTTCATCATCACTGGCCTGTGGTTGCCTTCTTGGATATCAAGGCTGCTTACGATACTGTTGACCGCAGGATCATCTGGCACTCCCTCCTGTCTGTCGGTGCTCCTCGTGGTCTTGTCTCCCTGCTCGCCAACATGTTTGACGATGTCAGCATCTCTATCCTGTTGCGCAATACAGTGTCTCCCTCCTTTCGGCCCCGTACAGGTGTACTCCAAGGTTCGGTCTTGAGTCCCCATCTGTACAGCCTGTACATCAACTCTCTTGCTCCCCTGCTTCGGTCTGCTGCCTCTAGCACTACTACCCGCGTCCTCTCTTCCTCTCCCTCCGGTCCTCTGGTTAATCCGTGGACTTATCCTCCCGCTACTGACCTGGCCCCCTCTCCTACTGCTATCAACCTCTTGCTGTATGCTGACGATGTTGCTTTGCTTGGTTCTTCTTCCGAAGTCCAGCAGATGCTTCGTCTAGCCGAGTCCCACTCGTTGCAGCTTGGTTACCGATGGTCTCCGGCCAAGTGTGCCTTGCTCAACTCTCCCTCTCCTTCCTCTACTGCTTTCCTCCCTTTGAAGCTGTATGGTGAGCAATTGCCTACAGTGGATGAGTTTATCTACCTTGGTGTCCCCTTCCGCCGCAATGGCATCTGCTCCTCTTCGGTGGTAACCAAAGGCAAACCCGGTGCTCTCGCCTCCATGGCTCGCTTACGCGACATCGGTGCTAACCGCTCTGGCTTCTCCTTTCTTCTCTCCTCTCGGTTATACGCCACCTTCGTGCGTCCCAAGGTTGAGTATGGTCTCGCCGTCACCCGCCTACTCCAAAAGGATTACAAGACCCTGGAAAAGACACAAGATACCTGCCTGAGGATGATCTTTGGAGGTCATCGTACTGCCTCTACCATGGTGTTTGTTCACCTGAACAACTTGCCTTCTCTTCGCTTCCGTGCTGACACCTTGGTGCTCAAGTTCTGTTGTCGAGCCGCTTCCCTCCCAGAAGATTGTCTGTTGGATCGGTAAGATCAAAATATAAATAAAATAGGAAATAAACAGTGACAAGTCTGTGAAAACTCTGAAGGTTCAAGTTTATTCTTTCTTAAAATTAAGATGAAGTTCGTCTAGATGAACAGAATCAACTGTATTTATATCTTTACGGAGTGGTATACAGGCCTATTCACCATGGACTATGTTAACTGATCTTGTAACCAGGAGAAAGGACCAATAAACACCAGCGACAGAACACCCAAAGAGAGCAACAGAAATGTGTAACTCGACCTGACTGGTCGACTTAGTAGTAGCGGGCAATATAAAGATTGCCCTATCGGACAACAAGTGATTGGGTATATAGACTGGTTTTGAATGATACTAATAGCGTCCATTATAGGAACCAGTAGAGAAGAGGATATAATCGACATGGGCATTCAATAGTTACCATAATCGTGATGAAGATTATAAATTTACAATAAAGTGATCACCGAATCTAGTGTACCTCCTCTACGACCTTTAATAGGTGGAGTCTGGAATAGAATAATGTCTGCGGAATAGCAAATAAAGACCTCTCACTCTATAAGGTAATAGTTATAGAGGCTAATAGAAACTGGATAAGTCACCTCAATCAACAATGTAAATTCTAGACTGAAGTACCAATAGATCATGTACGTGAAGTAACCTGCCATTTAATTATAACTATCAATAACGAAGCGTACTTCGGTTTTATTATGTAATATTCAGCAGTGATCTCTTCATCGATACAACATTGTCTGTTGTCTCTTTTGAGCAGCTCGCTCCCGGATCCCTCGTTGCCTCGTTTGCGCTCCTTGCGCATGGTACAGGACGTCCCTGCTTCCGTCTTGTCTGCTCCCACCGCTTCCTCTCTGGCCAAGTGGCTCCGTAACTACCGGTCCTCCTTGTTTTCGTCCTTCTTGGGCGTTACGGACAAGGTGTTGATCCGCGCTTGCCGTCCTTCCCTGGGGATTGACCCCGTCTTGTACGTTCCTGCCTCCCGTGCTGACCGGTCTCGCCTCGTTCGCTGGCGTATGGGCTGGCTTCCTGGTAAGCCAAAGCCTTGCCCCTGTGGTACCGACCACACGTCTCGTCGCCACCTGCTGCTGTGCCCCTCGGTTCCTGCCCGCTTGTGGCTTGACTTGCCTTCCCTGCCTGCTGATTCCCCCGTCCATCGGGTGGATCATGCCCTCAACCAACTGCCTCTCTCTTCCTCTGCTCCCTGCCCTTTGTACTGGGTCTCGCTCTGTCGGATCCTTTGGTACTTTGACACACTGTGTAATCCCGAAGGTGATTACACAACGGATCCTGAGCCTGGGCTTGTCTGGTCGTCCTCCTCCGCTGGTGATGGCTAGGTCTTGCTTCCTGATACTCGTCTGTGGTCGAAAGACAGTGTGGATACCGCCCTCTGGTTCGACCCTCCACTGCCAAACCCTTTTAGTGCACGATGCGAGGGAGTCCATGGTATTGAAGCCTGTTGAGTAGCCACCCGTTCTCCCCTACCTTCCTCTTCGCATACTTTTTTTTCCCCCCTTATATATACTTTTCGTGAGTCTTGGGTTTTTTTGGCCCCTTTTCCACATCTTCATTGACAGTCTCACTCCTCAATAGTCTCACCTTAGTTAGCAGTAATGTTCAAAAGAACGAATGCATTATAACTAATAAAAACATAAATTTTCGCCTGAGCTACATCCCCCACCTTTCTTTCCGCTCCCCATTTTTTTTGGTAAATTTCATATCCCGCCGAAAAAAAAAAGCCGAACTTTGACCAGGTATATCTCGACCAATTCTTGCCATCCATCACCCAAAACTAGTTCTTTGGAAAGCTCTCAGACTACGTAACAACTGTCCAATTTTTGTTCCGATCCGATAACTCTACTACCGCCATCTCGACCCCTGATTACTCGTTTTTTTTGTAATTTTTGCACTTTGACGCGTAATATCTCGACAACCAGTAATCCGATCGCGTTCATCCTTTTTAATTGTTTCAGCCCTTTTTTCGACAACAACATATTTTAATTTCAGCCGATTCGAAATCGTTAACTTTCCCATCGCCATCATCGCCATTTCGACATTTGCCATTTCCAATGAGCCAAGATCTCGAAATGACTAATTTCCAAAATCAGCTCGCCCTGCTAGCTAACAAGGTCGCCGAACATGACCAGACTCTCCTTCGCTTTGCCGCTCTTGAAGAACGGCTAGCTGCCGTCACTGCTGAAAACAAGACTCTTCAGCAGGAGAACGATGATCTCCGTGCCCGCCTGGCTGAAGCCCTTGCCGCCGCTGCCAGCCAACGGTTTCCGCCCGCCCCGCCGCCCTACCGCCCTACCGCCTCTAGGCCTGCCCCCGCCCGCCAAGCCCCTCCGCCGCTGAGCCCGCTGCCACCGCTGCCGCTGCCCCACCGTTGCCCAACTGAAGTTTGGAGCACGGTTGCCAAGAGGGGTAAAGCCAAGAAACCCGTCACTGCCAAGCGCCGTGAAGCCATTGTCGCGGCTTCAACCTTGATACCGGCGAACAAGGTTATGAATATGTGTATATTCATCGTTCCCGTCGCTATACCAGAATGGAGGTCCGCCGAAACTTGCGCGTTCTTGGAATGATGCCGCTCGCATTCTTGATGTTGCTTTCCCTGCCCGTGGTATCATTGGCCTCCTGATCCACGTCCAATTCAAGGCGTCGTTCCTAGAATCCCTTGAACGAGCAAAGGTTCAAACTGTGGCCGATTTTGATCCTTTGGACCTGCACACTTGGGTGATCCTCGCTTTGTTACCGCCAGTGTCGCTGACCGGGAAGTTGCTGCCATGCGCTTCCATTCCCGCCGTTGCCTCCATGCCTGAATTTTGTGATTGACCATCACAAAGATGCTGCCGTCGCCGTCGCCAAGGTTTTTGCCGAACAGGCTTGGATAACTGAGGAAGACCTTGCCCGCGTTATTGCCGCTACCCGTCCCAAGCTTTTGAACGCCCAAAGTATTCCCGAAACGCGTCTTCGGCTCCGGAGACTTTGAATCCGATAACGACGACACCGATCAAGCATGGAATATTAATGTGTGATCATCGTATCACCATTAATAACACATCTTCTGATGTGTCCTCTATACCTTCCTTTGATACCCCATCCTCCCTCTTCGTCTACCACCCATTCTCTCTCCCTCAACATGGTCTCTGGAATGCCAATGGTCTCCAAGCTTCCTCCGTCGATGACGTCCTCCGTCACTGCCAGGCTACTTCCCTCCTTTTCATTACTGAAACCTGGTTGCTCTCCCCTTCTCGCCTCCCTACCTCCTGGGAACAGTTTCACCTCTATGGCTCTCCGGTTGCTGGCAACTTCCGTGGTTCCATGGGTGTCTCTGCCCTTGTCTCTCCTTCGTGTCCGCTGCCTGTGTTTCAAGTTCCTTCCCCTACCAGGTATGCTCTCTGTCTCCATCTAGGTTCCTCCTTCGACTCATCTGTCTATACCTTCCACCTTCTCTCTCCTCCGAGGAGATTGTATCCGTTCTCGACTCCCTTCCCCTTTCTCAAGACACCATCATTTGTGGCGATCTGAATGCGCGTCTTGGCGATTTCACTGGTGACTCTGGCTCCAACACTCGTGGCAACTTGTTGCAGCAATGGTGTGAAGAACATTCGTTGTCCATTCTGAATGCTTCTCTCTCCCATGGTGTCCCCACTTTTGTTTCTTTTCGTCGTGGTCAACCAGTGTCTAGTATCGTCGACTACTTTATTACCAACGTTCCTTCTGCCCTCTCCTCACCTTCCATTACGATTCGTTCTGACCTCTCTTTAGGCTCTGATCACAAACTGATGTCTCTCTCTTTCCATCTCTCAGTCCCTGTTGATCATCCTATGCCATCCACTGTTCCTCCTCGTTCCTCCCCTGCTCCTCGTCGTTTATGGCATCTCTCTCGTCTCGAAGAAGCCGACACCCGCGAGTTGTATATCAGCCGTTTCCGCTCGCTGACATCTTCTCTTGATGACCGCCTCGCTCAGCTCCTCTTGGATGGTCCGTCGTCCTCCTCCTCTTCTCCTCCCGACATGAATGGCTTGAATAGCTCTCTTCATGAGGCTATCTATACGGCGTTGGACTCTTCGGTTGGCACCCGACTTCCTCGTCCTTCTCACTGGAAACACTTTTGGACTCCAGCCCTACAAGCAGCAGCCGACCTTCGTGAACGGTTCTACCGTAAGTGGCGACACTCTTCTGGTATGGAAAAGGTTTATTGGTGGAATCAGCATGTTCAAGCCCATGCGAAATTCAAACAAGACCTCCGGTTAGCGAAGCGACTCTCCTGGCGTGCGTTCTGTGATGCTTTGGAAGCCGCCGATATGCCTTCGGCCTTGAAAAAGGTCAAGCGGCTGAAGTCCCGCCGTTCCCGTTCCTCTGCCTTTGTTCATCCCAGCGGTCCTGCTGTAGGTGCCGATGTGATGAGCGCTCACCTGGCGGCCATCTATGCTGGCACTGGCCTTCCCTCTCCTCGTCCTCCTCCTCTTCCTGTGATTAGTTCTTCCCTTCCGTTCGAACTGCCTGCCAATGTTGCTTCTGCCCTCTCGCCTACGTCGGTCGAATCATCGTTAAAACTGCTTCCCCGTCGAAAGGCCCCTGGTCCCGACCATCTACGTGCTGAGATGCTTCTCCCTCTTGCTCGGCCTCTCTCTCTTCTGCTGTCAAAGCTGTTTACTCTCTGCTATCACTGGGCTTCTACTCCTCTTCTTTGGCGTCAAGCTCACGTCGTTCCCATTCACAAAAAGGGTGATGTATATGATCCTGGCAACTTCCGGCCCATCTCATTGACTTCCATTATTCGAAAGCTCTTTGAGATCTGTCTCTCTCCGGTGGTGATCTCTGCTTCTCCTCCCCTTGATGTGGCCCAAGGTGGATTCCGGCCCCAACGAAGTGCTCTGGATCAAGCTCTCTGCCTGCACGACTTGATGAAGGAATATCATCGTGTGCATCATCATTTTCCCGTCGTAGCCTTCCTGGATATCAAGGCTGCCTATGATACTGTCGACCGCCGTGTGGTGTGGAACTCCCTGTTGGCTGCTTCGGCTCCTCTGTCTCTTGTCTCTCTTCTGGCCAACATGTTTGACGATGTTCAAGTCTCCGTGTTGTTGTCGAACAACGTGTCCCGATCCTTTGTTCCTAGTACAGGTGTCCTCCAAGGTTCTGTTCTCAGTCCCCACCTGTACTCAGTGTATATAAACTCTTTGGCTCCTCTGCTTCGGACTGCTGCTTCTTCTCGAACAACAAGAGTGATGTCTACCTCCCTCTCCACGGCACCCTCCCCTCTCTGGTATCCTGTGACAACTCCTACGGCCCCTTCACCAACGCCTATCAACTCTTTGCTGTATGCGGATGATGTGGCGATCATCGGTACAGCTCGTGAAGTTCAAGCAATGCTCTCTCTGGCTGAGTCCCACTCCTCTGCCTTAGGCTACAAATGGTCTCCTCCGAAGTGTGCGGTTCTCAACCCACCTTCTGCTACTTCCTCTACCTCGGTGACTCTGTCGCTTTATGGTGTGCCTCTTCCAGTAGTTGACGAATTCATCTACTTGGGTGTTCCTTTCCGCCGTGCTGGCATCTCTGCTTCCTCCATTGTTAACAAGCGTAAACCCGGTACAATGCTTCAAATGTCACAGCTCAATGCCCTTGGTGCTAACCGTTCCGGCTTTTCCCTTCTGTTCTCTGCTCGGCTTTATGCTACCTTTGTTCGGCCAAAGTTGGAATATGGCCTAGCCATTGCTCAGCTTCGTGGTGTGGACTACACTGCCTTGGAAAAGGTCCAGAACCGCTGTCTCCGCATGATCTTTGGTGGTCATGGCACTTCTTCGACCTCCGTCTTCTGTCACCTGGCTAACCTGCCATCGATGCGTTTCCGTGCGGACACTCTTGTGGCCAAGTTCTGCCTACGTGCCCAGGTCCTGCCCTCAGACTGCCTGCTGTCTCTGCTCTCTTCTTCTCTGACTTCTCCTGCCTTGACATCTCTTCGTGGCCGACGCCTTGCGTCCGATATGCCTGCCTCTCTTAGGGAACGTGGTTACCCTATGTCTTCCTGGTTGCGTCGCTACCGACAGCAGCAATTCGATGACTATCTGTCCAAAACAGATAAAGTCCTGATTCGTGCCTGCCGCACCTCTCTTGGGGTGGATCCCGTGATGTACTTGCCTGCTTCTCGTGCCGATCGTAGCCGTCTAGTTCGCTGGAGGATGGGCTGGCTCCCTGGAAAACCAAAGCCATGCCCCTGTGCCTTGGATCACACTTCTCGCCGCCACCTCATCGAGTGTCATCTTGTGCCTTCCCACTTGTGGTTGTCTCTCCCCTCTGTGCCATCTGTCTTTCGAGGTAATCGTATTGATTACGCTCTTTGTCAGCTCCCTCTTTCTTCTTCTGCCGCTTGTCCTGAGTTTTGGGTGGATCTCTGCTCAATTCTATGGCACTTTGACAAGTTGTGTAATCCCGAAGGGGATTACTCTACTGATCCTGACCCTGGTCGACTTTGGTCTGACAAGTCTTCTCCTCCCCTCTGTCTCCTCCCCAATGATGAACTGTTGATGAATTGCACCCTCTGGCTTCGACCCTCCACTGCCACAACCTTTTAGTGCACGATGCGAGGGAGACCATGGTCATGAAATCTAACTTAGTATTCTATTGCTCGCCCTTCTCTCTTCCCTTCTCTTTTTTTACTTTTTTTGGCATCTTTAAGTTTTTTTAGTTTCTTCAACTCCCTTTTTTACGATAATCTTCTTTTTGTCCCCCAGATTAGCAAATAATGATCAATGGATCGCGTGCATAATAATCTC